CCCCGCCCCGCCCCGCCCCGCCTGCCATCCTCGACAGTTGACGCGGCGTGCGCGCGGCGACTCCTCCGCGCCCTGGAGCCCCGCGACGGCCTGCCCTCCGTCCGGTTCGCCTTTGCACCGCTATGCTTCGCGCTACACACCCGGCCCGATGCGATCGCCCTGCGCCGGGAGTCGCTGCATTGGCTGGTACGCATGGCCCCGCGCATAGGGCGCGCCCTTTTGGCCGACGGCGACCCGCTCCCCGGGACCCCGGGCTTCGGCCCGGAGCACGCGGCCTTTGCCGCCTGCTTCGGGCCCCTCTTCCAATGTCTGGATCATGACACCCTCTCGGTGTCTGCCTGCGGGGTGCTCATTCATGTGGCGCGTCCGTGGCACGCCAGTGCCTGGCGCACGCGCAAGGCCCGGCAGCTGTACGATCGCCGCGGCCGACCGCGTGCCATGGCCCCGCTGGTCCAACTGCTGGAATCCTGGTCGACAAACATGCGCCTGGGGGCCGCCGGCGTGGCACTGCACCTTGGGGGAGGACCCGTGGCCGCCACCGCCACAGCAAGCCTGGTCTCGCCCTCGTCGCACAGCATCACCACTTCCTCCGGCGGCGCCATCGCCCATGTTGACAGTGCGCAGCTTTGTAGCCCCGACTGCTCTTCTTTGCGCCCCTTCCCCGGCCATCGTCCAGCTGCGACTTCTCCTCCCCCTCCTCCTCACACATCGCCACATCCTTCCCACGGACCCCCCCCCCCCCCTCCACTAGGCCTCCATCTACAGCGTGCGCGCCTTGCCCACGCGCTTTCGGCGCTTACCCTGCACGATGAGCCCCGTCAGCCGGGGGCCGCCACGACCATCGGCCTGAGCGACCTCAGCTCTGCCCTCCATACCCCGAGCGACCCGCCGCCCAATTCCTTCACTCGATCGCTGACAGCCACCGTGGACTCGGCCTCCCTACATGCCTTTGTCCAGGCCATCGACGTGCGTCGCCATGTATGCGGGTACCCCCCCCCCCCACTCCCCATGTGTCCCACCACGCATTAACACGCCTTGCCCTCCCTCTCTCCCCCCCGCCTGCCCGCTTCCGGCGTACACCAGGACCCCTTCTGGCTGCCTGCCATTTCGGACTTCCTTTCCACATGGGATGGCTGCCGCCTCCGGCACTCGGTCTTCCGATTGATCTCCCTGTGCCCGCCAATGGCCTTCGAGGGTGCGCATATAGACCCAGTGACCTTGCCGCCCCCTTTCCCCCCCCCCACCGCCTGACACCCCTTTTAACAAAACACAAACACAAACCCCAACAACACCACCCCAACACCGCCCCCTAGAGATCTACACCTTCATCCTCAACCCGCTGCTCCACCTCTTCCAAAGTTCGGACACCGTGTGGAAGTGCACCCTGATCAACATGTACTCGACCTTGACGTCGCGCTGGTGTGCGGTCTTCATGGCCGAGGAGTCCATGGGGCTCGGGGCTGACCGGTATTTCGGCCTGCTGGCCACCATTCGCCTACTGGCCGCACATGTGGACCGACTTTGCCTACACTCCATCATCTCCGAGCGTGCGCATCCCCTGGTGGAGACCACAGTCCGGGGGTACTTCCTCCGGCTGTTCCAGGCCCTTGAGGGCCACGACTCGAGCAAGTATTCCGCCCTCGAGGAGGGGCCATCCGGACTCGATGACAGCCTCGACCCGTCGAACATCCTGCTGGGGTTTTCCCCGCGGTCGCTCGTCCTCCTCTCGGCAAACCCCAGCAGTGGCATTGGCCCGCTGGACCTTTCCCTCCTGGGCGGGAGGGGCTAAGGAGGAGGGGCCTGGAGCGACCCGCCGTCCCTCCCCTGCCCCCGATCGCGCGCGCCTACGCACTGGAGGCATGGGCATGCGCAGTCGGCTGGCCATCCTGGAGCTCCCCGTCCTGCCTCCCGGAAAAGGGCGTATGTGGGCTGTGTAATATACTTTTCTATTGGCGATTTCGTCCGCCCGGCCGGCCTGCCGGTGTGCATACACGATCATGAGCCATCCGAGGCGTGGTCGCCATCGGCGACATACTCCTGGCTGACATATCCTCCGGCAACCCAGTCGGACTACGTACATGGGTACGTATATACGACGCGCGTGCGTGCGTGTGTGCGTGTGTGTGTGAGTGTGAGTGTACATTCATGCGCACATGCAGGGGCATGAGAGAGACACCGCAGCGGGAATTTGTGGGACGATCCGTGCCGGTGGCACGCGGACAACAAAAGGGAGTGACGCGTACCCAGGTGACGGCTAGCCGGACGGACGTGTCGATCGGCCCGCCAGCTGGAACCTCGTCCGGCCGCAGGCTGTCGATCGACCGGCCTGATGGCACAATCGGTGCCTCGGCCAGGCGGGCACAAAGCTTGGCATGTTGGACGGCTGCCTGCTCCAGGCGCGCAACAGCGTCCGAGAGCTCTACCAGGAGCGGGTGCGGGGGGGG